TGAATCTTTTCTCTACTTCCCTTTTCTTTATCTTCCTTTTTGCGTTCTTCCTCTTTGCTGGGCTCAGCCTAAACCCCGTCCCTGCGTCCTTACAAAGTCACTCAACTGGATAAAGTCATTTACCTGGCTGAAGAGGCGCGCGAGAGGGGAATAGGCAGAGAGAGGGAGGGCAGAGAGGATGTCTTTGACAAGAGCTGTATTTGTAAGGAGAATGTAGCAAAATGGATGAAGAACAAAGAAATGGAGCAATGCCAAGAGAATTGCACAGCGAGTGCAGAGTTGAAGCCTGAAAATAAAGACAAGTTCAGTTTTGACCAACAACAGAACATGGTGTTGTTTCTACCTCTTTGAGACACATCCAAAAAAGCAGAAAAAGCTGATTGAAGAAAGAGAGATACCACACAGTGGAAAGAGAGAGAAGATGGCAGCAAAGGCAGGTTGAAGACTTATAAAATAACAAAGGAAAGATCATTAAATACCAGTTACATTCAGCACATTTAACTGAACATATGGGCAAAGTTGCTGAAGAGAAAATATAACTGTGATAAACAGAGGGACAAAGACTGTGTGTGGTGTGTTTGGTTTGTGTGCCAGTGTTTCTTGACTTTTTGAGGCCAGAGAGTTCCAGATATTGAGTACAGCACATAACCATTAATCCCAACACTTGTGCTGAAACAGCATGCAAGTTAAGGCTCTCTTCTTTTGTTTCATTCTGTCTCTGCACGAGATAAAATTATCATCCTTGTGTCTAGGATTTTGTTCCCAATTCACACATTTGATGGCAACACTCATTTGATTTTATTTCATTTTATTATCAAATTTAGATTTATTTTTACAATAAAACAGAACAGCAGAACCTCAAACAAAAGAAAAGAAGCAAATTGTGCAGGTTAGATTTAAAGGAATAAACTTTATAAGCAGACACAAAAGTCATGTCACCCACAAATTATAGACTCAAAAGGAAAACATAAAGTAAGCAATATAAATCAAAAAGAAAACATAAATAAAAAATAATGTAGAGAGACTATGTGTGCGTTAGTGTATGTGTGTGTTTGTAATTTGAGGTGTAGAACAATTCAGCCGACTAACGCAAAGTATGTGAGTGTGTGCGCACATGTACAGAAGAGAGAAAAGGGTCAATTATGGTCACATATGATCAGTTCGGACAGCTTGGTTTATCAGACAGGACCAAAGCCTATATTTAACATTCATGATTGAGGTAGACTGAAATGCAATTTGAATATAACTATTTATAGCTGAGCTCCCCTATATCGCATAGAGAACTGACAGAGCCCAGTACAGAACATCTCATATTATAGTTATGTACATCACAGTTTGGCTGGAAAAGTACTTCACAAGGCCTGGGAAGAAAAAGCAGGCAGATGCAAATGAAAACACAGGTTTTGTATATATATTTATGCTAAAAATAGTTACAATATTGAGCTGACTGAAGATAAGGGCCGAGTTCTCAGCACTTCTGATAAATGTGGCAATTCTGTAAAACCTGTCTTGTTAAATTTAAAGCTTATGAAGGTGATGGCTCCCCAAATGATATTTCAATATATGAGGTAAGGAAACATTAAGCTATAATAAAAAGTAAATAAACGCTTCTGATTAACAAAAGTTTGAAATTTGCCAATGATGATAAAACATTTAGATATTTTATTGTAAACAAACTGAATATGATTTTTCCAGGTTAGAGTTTCATCAATCAGGACTCCAAGGAAACTTGTGGATCTGGGTAGTTGGGTAATTTCCAATGGTGAAAAAAAACATTATTTTTTATGTTAATATGACATTTTAACTTTGGCCATAAGTACAGAAAAATGTGTATGCAAGAGGAATAAATTGGTATTATCTGGAAAAATTAAGTGAGGAACATGGAGGATTATGCTGCAGCATTAATATAAAAGAAGAATGGGAGTGGTCTAAGGATAGAACCCTGTGGCATCCAACATCTTATAATGCCCCGATTAGATTTCCATCCATAAATGTTAAAACACATTGTTGTCAATTATGAATATAATTGTAAAACTATTATAAGTGATTCCAGTAAATCCATAGTGTAGCAATTTTACAATAACTATTTTCCAAAATTACTCCAATCTCACTCAGTTAATTATTGGATCACAGAAACATATTTGTTCACTATTTGTTGATATGTGATGCTGACCCATTTCTTAGTTTAACCCAGAATTCTAAGAATTAACCCAACAAATGATTTTGACACAGTCACCGTACAGTAAGCACATTGTAGACATTTACAGGTAGGACATCAACAGTGGACTGTTTAGATTAAGCCTAGAGACTTCATTTTCAGGCAGCCAGTGACATGGCTCTTTGGAGGGGAATCTCGGCCTGTCAGCTGCTTTGTCAGTCCACTATTTTGAAATATTTTTTTGTACAGACATTCATGGTCATGGTTTTTTTTGATCAAATACTTGTGAAACTAATGACATTCCCATCAGCCTCACCTATTCTTGTGTTAATCTGCCAGTTGTTTCGATTAATCAAGTAATCATTCAATGTATAAAATTTCAGAAATTAGTAAAGAATGTCCATCCCAAATTTGTCAAAGTCCAGGAGATGTCTTTAAATGTCTTGTTTAGTCAGTCCCAAACAATAAAATATTCAGTTGAATATGATATAACACAGAGGAAAGCAGGAAATCTTAATATTTGAGAGGCTGAAAACAGCATTTCTAAATGAAAAATAACTTAAACAATGAATTGATTATAGAAACTAATCTACTAGCCTAATCGTTGCAGCCCTAGTGTGTAGTATTAATTTGCTATTGTTAACATACTATCACGGTAAACTAAGATAGTGAACATTATATGTGCTAAACTTGCCACAAGCATGCTAGCATTTTCACTGTGAGCATGTCACCACGCTAATGTTAGCATTTAGCTCGAAGCACCAGTGTGTCTACATACACTCTTACAGAACTGCTAGTGTTGCTATAGACTCTGGTAAGCTAGGACATGCATATACAGCACAAAAGCACATATGCACACACACTCTCCCAACTTTTTCAGCCACTGTCACAACGTATTTTTCACACACTGTCATGTGTAATTTATATAAAGTTTGTTTCAGTCCCGTTCTTGTAGATACATTTTCTGACCCACTCACACACAAGTAGGTGTTTCAGTTGATTGTTTTGTTCCTATATTGATATCTTATATGTCCTAAGACACTGTCCTTTAGCGGTATGGACCCCCGCTGAAAATTTCTCAGAATCATTTATGACTATACATTAAGTGTATGATGTCAAAATGAGTCAAGTCAACATACTTTTATCCTGTTACACCTCAGCCCCGATATAACACATGACAGTCTATAGTACACTGTCATGTCACCTAATATAAAGTGACAAAGTCTCACATGATGTTACTGTTATGTTATGTAAAGGCGGCTCGTACACTGCTGACATAGTGAAATACTCTCAGAGTGTACAAAGTGGAAAATCTATCTATTTATTTGTTTACTGAATGTTTTTAAATGCACAAATATATGACACTGTAATACGTGTTATTTTTTTTATATGTTTGTGTGGTTTAAGTATCTCATCATTACACTTTTTGTCACACAATTGTACATCAAGTCTACTAATTGTAATTTCTCTGGTGTATTAATCAGGTTTATTATGACTTACAGGCAAGTGAAAGCCTGTGAATTTACACTGATTCTGGGTAGTTTTGTCAGCCACTGTTCATGCACAAACCTTTTAATTACATAAGAAGAGAGGCTAATTAATTCCTAAACAATTAATTATCATGAAAATCCCTTTTTGTGATCCCTGTATCACAAAAATATGTTTGTTGTTTTCACTTTCATCTATTCTTTGCCTAATGTGCATCAGTTGGACTCACTCATTTACATATTTAAATGAATATGCTCACACACACAAAGCTTATTTCCAGCTTTTCATGCTTGACCTTGTGGTCATAATGTAGACCTTCAGTTAATAGGGTTGATGAGCTCCAGGCTATAGAGAGATACTGACTTCACAGGTCGATCATCATTCTCCACGGTTTATTAGTCACAGTGCCGATGAGATTAACGCTGCCATGCCTTTCAGTTATATCTCTCCATGCAGACCCCTGCCAGCCTTGCACTCTTTGGTGCTTAAAAAAAAGAAGCAGATGAGATAGTCGAGACCTTTTCTGGAGCCCAGAGGTGATGACGATGTGGCATTTTATTGGATTAGATTAACTCACTTACACCTGCTTGGCTAATTTCCACATTTAATTTTCTAAAATATAACAGGGAAACATTTCCTCTGTTTAATGTCCAGCAAACTGCTGCATGAAGTTTCCTGACAGTGATGATAAAATGTACTAACATAAAGAACACTGCTAACGCACCATTTTATTTTTTTTTTAAATTGACCTTTTTATTGATGTTTTAGTTGGTTTTCTACGCCTACAACAATCACATGCATGGTTAGATTCCGTTTTAGCCCCGATAAAACGATCTGGTGTTCAAAGGATACACGTGTGTAAAGACAACTTATGCCATGTGGTTGATGATTAAACATGACAGTTTACTCCAGCATCGCCTGCTTGCATGACCATGGCACTCCAACAAACATGCTTTCCTCATTTTACCTGCCCCAGCCCCCTTCTCTACCACTTTTCTCTCTCACCCTTTGAATTATGCACTCCCTCCAGCAGTAGATTAGAAACAGGAATATCTTGTTTTCCCTGCAGGGTTTCCTGAATGCAGACTACTAGTTTTCAGCCGTTTGCAAGGGCTGCAGTTTTCAGTAATCCCATTGATTCACCATTTTATTCCAGCTTTTCAAACTAGAAAGCTTCATACCTTTACTGTATATTTGTCACTTGGTTAATAAGATGAATAATACTAAGTTAGTCTGACAAGCTGCTGCAGACTGCAAATTGACATGATGCATGAAATGCATTCTTGTCTTGAGAACATACTTATGTACAATATATAATAACAATATCTTTGTTATTCAAGTGTCTTTGGCTCTTTGCATATCCCAGTTCATTGGCCAGCTGCTGAAAAGTTACACTTTTTTATTATTATTATTGATTTTGATTGTGACAGGACACTGCCAGGGTCTTTTAGATCAAGTACTTTTTCAGCTCGCCTCCCCTGTCCTCTGCTTCTACAGCACTGGCCGGACGTTTCAGAGGGGTCAGACAGCCACGTTGGCCAGCCTCGGGTCTGAGTCCTGCTCGTAACGGTAATGGTAGACCTCCATCTGGTCTCGGCACGCCTCTCGGATGTTGTTGAGCCACCGTTTGATGCCCCCACGGTTGAGATACAGCACCATGAGAAACACCACCCCAATCAGAGCCAACACTATACCGAGGAACACGTATGAAACCGCCTCAAGGTTCTCGTTCATACAATCCACGTCCTCTCTCCGGAGCCTCTCCACGGGAATCCCCCTCTTGGCCTCCGGCTCGCTGCACAGGAGACGCCCTGCATCCGGGCACTGGGATGAGTTCTTCAACCAGTAGTAAAACGCTTCCAGTTCACAGTTGCACCGAAACGGGTTTAAAGACAAGTAGACGCGTAAGCGCTTTTGCTGGTACAAATTGGTCACGTTTTCCCACTCCATGCTCTCTATTGAGTTATTTATCAGCACCAACGCGTGGAGATTGTAGATATCTAATGTCATTAGTGGTATGGACTTCAGGCTGTTTCCCGCCAACTCCAGCCTGTGGAGGTTGCGCAAACTTAGTGTGCTGAGCGCATTGGAGAGCTGCGTCGTTGCCAGAGGTAAAATAGAGTAATTTAGGTAAAGAGAGCGCAGCTCTAGTAACCCGTGGAAAGCCCTGGCCGAGATAGACTCCAACTGATTGTGACTCA